AGCGGGCCAAGTCAAAAATAAGGGACAACACGTCAGTGTACAAAAAATTCCTTTCTAGTAAAAAAGGCTTTACACTTCATTTGTTCTACGCTGATAAAAGCCGTGCGGAAGTCCCAACAAGCCAAAATCAAAGAAACTTCCGATTGAGAACGGAGCTTCGGGAAGTTCCGTGAAAGCTTCGGTTCCATTTGTGTGACGTTTCGAAATTCGAAAATCGAGACTCTCTTGAAAATCAGTACTATCTCAAGATTTCCAAAAAGTTTTGATTTTCTTGTTTGCACGAGGAAGTTCCATTGGTTGTCTAAGTGCATGTCGAACTAGCGGAAAAACCAAATTTGCTTTAGATTGGCAAGGATATGAAGATTGGTCCTTAATCCTAATGATAAACGTTGTTCTGCATTGAGATGTATGAATTTGACAAAAAGGAAATCCTAGCCATTTTTTTCCCAACCTGATACAAGTCCAAAGAGCTCTGTGTAAACGACTGTTTACTGTAGACTTACTGTATTCCCAATTATAGCACAATCAGCAAATTGACCTTCGGATTATAAGAGTTATGCTTATGCTTTATCTGTTCACTATGAAACACTGATGCTGCACTTCCTACAAAAGAACAAGACTCAAAATCTAGTGCTAAAAAGTAATAAATCACAAAACCAGTTGCAAGAGCAAGCAAGAAAAATCAAATAGCTATTTCTTAACTTATCTATTAAATTTGATTAGAAGCGAGAGAACATTACAAACATCTAAGAGCTTCTTGATTGCAGATATTCGCGGCACTACTGTGGTTTAGCATATCAAAAGGTGGATGGCATAGACTAAATGGAAGTTCGCATCATCAGGTGCATAATTTCAAAAGAGTACTAATTTATCTGTTTCATTGGTCTCAATTATTTAGGTTTGTCTATATGGCAGCAGTGCGTCAACATGCTCGTTCGCATCAGCGCTTGGATTTTTCTCGCTAGTTGGAGCTGGTGCTTTGCTGTTGTCAGACGCTCGATTAGAGCGGATATCCTCAATTCCCACAAGAAAACGAGTCGTCACTGGTGACTTAGCAGTATCTGGTTCGTACCACTTTGAGCAGATTCGTGGTATATTTCCAGAGAAATCTCTTGGACAGTGCTTAAAATGTAGAAAAAGAGAAAAAGTTCTCATCTTCCCATCTTAAGTTAGCAACTCTTCAATATTACGATTATTTATAAGTGCTGCAGTAACAGAAAAAGCAGAATTTTTTCTTCTGCGGTCCTACGCTAAGCGACGTCT